CACCTATTGTGATACTGTTGTCTTGATAGATTTTATTTGCCTAAGAGATCATGCATTAGACAGCAAAACGAAAATAATGCATTAAGAAATGCAAGAATGTACAATTGCCTATTATTGATAGAGGCATGGTTTTTTGCCTAGAGCACTTAGTTTTTTATTTAAAAATATTTTTCAAAAATTTTCATTACATTTTCTGATACATATTGAGTATTTATGCTGAGTAGCAAGTTTGAGCTGATTCCGACTTCAATTTTTCAAGTTACAGCCATTTTAAGAAATTGTCAAAAATTCTGAAAAATACCCAAGGCTATAGCCCTGGTATGGGCTCTCTGCGTGGTTTGAGACAGTGGTGGGGCAGGATTAAGGAGCTAGGAGTCTATTATGGTTATTGGCCAAATGCCATCAAGTCCACTCTTCTAGTAAAGAAAGATCACTTGGAGGAGGCCCGTGAGCTATTTCGCGGTACTGATGTGATGATTACGTGTGAAGGTGTTAAGGTACTGGGATGTCCTGTTGGTACCCAGGAGTATGTGAACAAGGAGTTGACTAATAAGGTTAAGGTATGGTGTGAGAGAGTATGTCTGTTATCTAAAGTTGCTGTTTCTCAGCCCCAGTCTGCCTATAGTGCCTTCACTCATGGTTTGTTTAGTGAATGGACTTATCTGTTTCGTACTTGTCAATTTGAGGAGTGTCAGGTCCAACCCCTTAATGACTGTTTGTTTAATGTTTTTATTCCTTCTCTTTTGGGAAGGGATGCTGTGAGTGAGTTGGAGAGGGACTGGCTCTCTCTTCCTACTCGATATGGTGGTTTGGGGCTGGTCAATCCATGTTGGTTTGCTAGGTGTCAAAGATCAAGTTCTGTTGCTATCACTCAGCCTCTTGTTGATATGTTGTTGGGGAATGATAATGGTTCTGTGACTGATGTTGAGGTGGAGATGGATAAAGCAAAGAAGAAGTGTAAGTTGGAAAAGGAGGAAGTATACCGATCAACAATGTCTACACTAAGGTCTGAGCTACCGGCTGACCGTCTCCGCCTACTTGATGTCTCGTCTGAGCAGGGTGCGTCCTCATGGTTGACTGCACTCCCCCTTAAGGAGTATGGATTTGATATGAGTAAGCTGGAGTTCAGGGATGCTTTGTGTCTCAGATATGGATGGCGCCC